GGGGGGGAGAGGCGAGGGAGAGGCGGCCTGGAGAAAGAGCGACACGCACACAAGACGAACTGCTAGTGCAACAGCAGCAGCAGCAGCAGCGGGAGAGGAGCAGCAGCAGCAGCAGCAGCAGCGGGGGGGGAGGAGGAGCAGCAGCAGCAGCAGCAGCAGCAGCAGGAGGAAGAGGTAGTACACACCGAGAGGCGGGGAAGGCGGAGGCGCTGCAGTGTACGTACACCGCAGCGGCGGCCAGCCAGCGGCTCCTAGGAAGTCCGCTTTCCGAAAGCCGCAGGGTTCTGCTGCTGCAGCAGCAGCAGCAGCAGCAGCAGCGGGAGCAGCAGCAGCAGCTCCCGCGGGCGCGAGCGAGGCGAGGCGGGGCCGCCGGCGCGGCAGTAGGCAGCAGCAAAAAGCAAAAAGAGAAAAGAAAAAGACAAAAGAAGTCCGCAAGGCGGAAGCAAAGTGCTGCAGCAGAAAGGTTGCGGGCGGCCGCTGCTGCGGCGGAGCTGGAGCTGCGGTGTATGTACACCCCGCGGTTCGCGCGCGAAACCCCAGCCCTTCGCAGTTTACTTTAATTCCTAAAAGACAATTTGCTGCAACTCCAATTCTTTTCGCTTTTGCTGCTTCCGAGACGGAATTGCTGCTGCTGCTGCTGCCACATGCAGCAGCAGCAGCAGCCGCTGCTGCTGGCCCCGTCGCCTCCGCCAGCTGTCCATACACCCCGCCGGCCCTTCTGCGCCTTCGCCCCAAGCCTCCCCCCAGTTCTTTTACGCCCGCACTTTCTGCTGCTGCTGCTGCTGCTGCTGCTGCTGCTGCTGCTGCTGCAGCAGCAGCAGCAGGTACTCTACGCCCGCGGTCTGCGGTCTGCAGCAGCCGCCCCGAGGGGAAAGTGGCTTCAAATGCCCTTCTTTGGAGTTCCAAAAGCTTTAAAACTAAACTCCATTTAAAGTCTTTTCCCCAGAATCGCTAAGACACAACACACTCCGCGCAGCAGCTGCTGCAGCAGCAGCTGCTGCTGCTGCTGCTGCTGCTGCTGCAGCAAATCGCACAACTCGAACTGCTGCAGAGGCCACTTCGTCTTTCTAGCAGCAAACTCAACTCCGCTTTAATTCCAAAATAATTCTTTTTCTTTTTTTGGCTCCAGACTTTGCGAGACACTCCCCTTAGCTGCTTCAGTGCGGGCGCCGTTCCCTTCCCATTTGCTGCTGCTGCTGCTGCTGCTGCTGCTGCTGTGTTGCTGCAGCAGCAAGTTCCACTTCGCTGCAAACTGCACGCTACTGCTGCTGCTGCTGCTGCTGCTGCTGCTGCTTCGCTAGGAGCTGCTGCAGCGCTATTTCCCCACTTAAACCTTTCGAGCTTCCCCCCCTGCTGCTGCCCCCGAGAGAAATAAAAGATTTATTTAAATTCAAAAAAATAATTCAAAAAAAATAATTCAAAAAAATGAAATGGAGGCGAAGGGGTGAACTTGGCTGCGGTGCTGGGGTGTACAGACACCTCAGCGAAGCGGAAAGCGAAAAGTGGAAAGTTGCATTAATGGAAATGCAGAAAGAAAAAGATTTGTTTTCTTTTCTTTGTTTCGACTTGGACTTTCAAACTGGATTTAATTCGAAAATTAAAATAAATAAAATTCTTTTTATTCAAAAAAAGCAACAAGTTCGAAACAAACAGCCCAGCTGTCTGTACACCCGAAAGCGCCGCTTCGGCGGCTTCCCTCCAGAGAGCCCAGGGCCTCAGGGCCTTTTAGGGTTTAGGGTTTAGGGTTTAGGGTTTAGGGTTTAGGGTTTGGGGTTTGTTAGAGTTTTTGAACCACCAAGTTGAAAAGAGTGGTGAGGGCTTTGCTGCACTTTTCGCCTTCGCATGCAGCAGTTAGCAAAATTATTTTTTCCTTCACTTCCACGAAGACACTGGCCTGCGGGGGGCAGCAAATAAGGGCTCGAAGCAGCAGCAGCAGCAGCAGCAGCAGCAGCAGCAGCAGCAGCAGCAGCAGCAGCAGCAGGTTGTGTGTTGGCGAATTAAATTGTCATTTCCACTTTTCCTCACCATAATAAAACTCCCCCCGGCGCTTCTTTAGGCCTCCTTCGTCTTGGAGCCAGCCCTGAATTGGCCCGAGGCAAAATAATAAATATTTAATTTTAATATAAAATAAAATAAATGCAATATAATATAAATATAATATAAATGCAATATAAATATAATATAAATATAATATAAATGCAATATAAATATAATATAAATGCAATATAAATATAATATAAATATAATATAAATATAATATAAATATAATATAAATGCAATATAAATGCAATATAAATATAATATAAATATAAATATAATATAAAGATAAATATAATATAAATACAATATGAATATAATATAAATACAATATAAATATAATATAAATGCAATATAATATTGTGAAGGGATTAATAAACATTAAAAGAGAAGAAATAAAAAAAGAGAAGTGCTCACCGGCGGCAGGGACTGTCCCCCAGTGGCTCCGAAGTGTATCTGCAGCTTTTGCTGCTGCTGCTGCTGCTGCAGCAAAGAGTGAGTGCATGCAGCGTGGGAGAAGGCCAGGGAAAGAGCAGCAGGGCCGTGGGCCAAGGAAGCAACTCCGTGGGAAACTGCAGCAGCAAAATCTGATTGGGGGCCCCGCAGCGACAGCAGGAAGGCGCATGCAGCTCCGGGTGTACATACACCCGAGTGCCGCGCCGCGCTGCACACGCAGGACTCCAACGCAAACACTTTTGTTCCGTAAACGGGACCCAAGGGATCTTGGAGACAAGCAGCAGCACAAAGAGCAACAAAGTGGGAGCCTGGGGGGGCCTCTTGGCCGTGGAGAGCGGTGGCCAGGGTGTCTAGACACTGCAGCAGCGCGCGCAAGAGTCAGCTGCTGCTGCTGCTGCTGCTGCTGCTGCTGCTGCCTCACCTCCAGCTCCAGCACCGCAGGCGCCGCGTCCGCTGCTGCTGCTGCTGTCAAACAGGGAACTCCCCAGAACTCGAAAGAGCCTCCGCTGTCTCCGCCGTTCACAAACATTTGCGTTATTTCAACTTTGACCTGCAGCAGAAAGTGAAGTTCGGACTTGTGCAAATTTCAGAACCAACTCGCCCTCGTCACGGTCTTCGCCGCAGGCAAGAGGTACTCGTGGTGTTCCAGTTTGTTGGAGTGCAAAATCGAAAAGACTTCCGAGTCGTTTTCTGTTTTTTTCAAGTTTTCGAAAATTCAAGTTTTCGAAAATTCAAGTTTTCGAAAATTCAAGTTTTCGAAAATTCAAGTTTTCAAAACTCTCCATTTTTTCAAAAATTCAAAAATCAAAATTCAACTTTTGAATTGCCCACCGTCGAAAGTCAGAGTCAGCTCGGAGGGCCAAGTGAGCGGATCTGAAGGCGGCATGAAGCGGAACTTGGAGCTGAAGGCAAAACAAAGAAAAGGAATTGATTGGAGTTGAAAATAAATAAAGAAAGGGAATTAATTGGAATTAAAATGAAGAAAAGGAATTAATTTGAATTCAAAATGAACTCACAGCTGCACTGGCCGGGCGAATTCGACGGAAATGGACTCCCCGTTTCCTGCGGTTTCGCGGGGTGTACATACACCTCGCGCTGCGCCCCTGCGACCGCCTCCTCACCGTTGCCACTTCGGGACTTCCAAATGCCTCCAGGGCCGTCCAAATGAATTCCACTAAGTCCAGATTTGCAATTAAAGTCTGCAGAAAGTTCCGAAGAGGAGCTGCAGCCCAGCAAGTGCGGGCCGGCGGACAGCGACAAGTTCACTTCTTCGCCCCCTGCGCGGCACGCCGTTAGTTCCCGCGCGCTGCGCTGCTGCTGCTGCTGCTGCTGCTGCTGCTGCTGCTGCTGTGCTGCACTCACCGCATGCTGCAGCGTCTTCCAGCGGCGCGAGAATAACTAAAAACGGAACGCCCTTGTGGGCAACGCTGAGGGAGACGGGGCCCCCCCTGTGGATAATTCTTTTGACTTGGAGTGTGAAGCTTTCCTGGGGCCCTTCTGTTGTCTCTTTTTCGGGACTTTCTGGCCCTTCTGTTGTCTCATTTTCGGGACTTTCTGGACTTTCTGTAGTCTCTTTTTCGGGACTTTCTGGCCTTTCTGTTGTCTCTTTTTCGGGACTTTCTGGACTTTCTGTTGTCTCTTTTTTTGTCTTTTCTGGCCTTTCTGTTGTCTCTTTTTCTGTCTTTTCTGGCCCTTCTGTTGGCTCTTCTTCAGTCTTTTCCCCGGCCCCTTCCTGGGCACTTTCTGGAGAACTTGTTTGGAAATTGTCTTTGCGTTTTTTGACGAAAATTCGGTCTGGAGTGTCCTGGGCCCTCCAGAGGTAGTCTTCGAAGGGGGCCAGCGGGAAGGGCTGCTGCAGCGGAAAAGCCACAAAAAGAGCTGCTGGGGACTTCAAATAAAACTCCATTAAAGCCTCCGAAGGCCTTCTGCGAGAAAGCAAAAAACGGAGGCCTTTTAAGTGCTGCGGGATTTGCTGCAGCTCGAAAGCTGCGGTGTCTGCGAAGGCGGGGGCCCCCTGCAGCAGCAGCGACAGCGCGTGCAGCGCGGGGTCCAGGCTGCGGCCGGAGTTGGGAGTTTATTTGAATTATTTTGATTCAAATTATTCAAATTAATTAAATTAATTCAAATTTATTCAATTAATTCAAATTATTTCAATTAATTCAAAGTTTTGTTTGCACCTGGACACTTTCAGCGGGGACGGCCGGTCCGACGAGAAGAAGAACTTGGAAGGGATTACTTCTCGCGGCAAGTCTTCGGAAGACCACAAGAGCCTGCGGAGAAGTCGAAATTCAACTTCGAGCCGATTTGAAGGAAATGCGCGAAAAAGGGAATTAAAACGGAGGAAATCAGAATAAATTCAAATAAATTTGAATAAATTTGAATAAATTGGAATAAATTGGAGGAAACTTGAATGAATTTGAAAAAGATTCGAATAAAATTGGAATGAATTTGAATAAATTGGAGGAAACTTGAATGAACTTGAATGAACTTGAATGAATTGGAATAAATTGGAATAAATTGGGATAAATTTGAATAAATTGAAATAAATTTGAATAAATTTGAATAAATTTGAATAAATTTGAATAAATTTGAATGAATTTGAATAAATTTGAATAAATTTGAGTGAACTTAAGGCAATTGCAAGTTTTCTCGACGGACCTGAGAGTGCCTCGGTCGCTGTTTTCGGGGAGAAAGTGGGGGTTGTGGACGAACTCGACTCGAATTTTGTATTTTTTTTTGCGAATTAAACGAAGTTTTGCAGAATTTGAAAAATGTTTTCCGCTTTTTTGAACTGCAGAAAGCAAAGAAACTCTTTTGCTGCCGCTGCTCTCCGCCGGGCTGCCCCCAGGCATCCGGTCCGCCACCACCGGCTGCCCGTTCAGAAACACCCGCACGCCGTTGTCCGTCTCTGGTCATTTTGTTTCAATTTATTCAAATTTATTCAATTTTTCAATTTATTTCCATTTATTTCCATTTATTTCCATTTATTTCAGTTTATTTCAGTTTATTTCAGTTTATTTCAGCTTATTTCAACTTATTTCAGTTTATTTCCGTTTAGTTCAGTTTACTTCGATTTACTTCGATTTATTCCAATTTTTTCCAATTTTTTCAATTTATTTCCATTTATTTCCATTTATTTCCATTTATTTCCATTTATTTCCATTTATTTCCATTTATTTCAACTTATTTCCATATATTTCCATTAATTTCAACTCAGTTCAATTGCATTCGACTCAAGCGCGCCTCACCAGTGGTGAAGACGTAGTGCCCCGTTTCGGGCACCTGAAGAAAGCCGTCCCAGCCTGATGCGAAAAGCTGCAACTGCGAAATTCGGCGAAGTCCGCAGCTCTTACGAATGGAGTAGTTGTGGGCTTTGAGGCCCTCGAGGGGCCCCGAGCCGCTGAAGGCGAAGTCGAGGACTTGGTCGATTTTTCGAACTCGGGGGGGCCCCTCGAAGCAGCAGTTGTCGAAGTAGGCCCCCCGCAGCCCGTCCGCCACAGGGTCCTCCTCGTACCTGCGTTTAAAGCGCCATTTCAATTCAAATTCATTCAAATTAATTCAAATTAATTCAAATTAATTCAAATTAATCCAAAATTGACTCAAAATTGATTCAAAATTCATTAAAATCGGAAAAAATCGGTGCAAAATGGATTAAAATTGGCAAAAATTGACCCAAGAACTCTCCGAAATCCCCAAACTTACCCCAGAGCCCCCTGGCAGTTCTCCGGCTGCTGCGCTGCAGCAGCTTGCTGCTGCTGCACTTTGCTGCGCGTCTCTTTAATTAATTCTTTCAAGTTTTTGGCTTTTGCTGCAGCAGCAAAACCTCTTTTGAGGCAGTTTTGATTTCGCAAAAAGATATTTCGCGCTGTCTCCAGCTGCCGCTCCGCAGCCTCGTGGCGTTTGCCGCAAAGAGCCTCGAGTCTGCAGTTTTTGAATTCAATTCAACTCAATTTAATTTAATTTAATTTAATTTAATTTAATTTAATTTAATTCAATTTAATTTAATTTAACTCAATTTAATTTAATTTAATTTAATTTAATTTAATTTAATTTAATTTAATTTAATTTAATTTAATTTGATTTAATTTAATTTAATTTAATTTAGTTTAGTTTAATTTAGTGGAAGTTAAAAGGAGCAATTAAACCCACTTTTTTGCAGCCAAGTCCGCCTGGTAGATGCTGCCGTCCAGCCGCTTTATCTGAAATTCAAAATTTCATTTTGCTGCTGCTTTTCTTTTCCAAAAAACTCGCCATGGCTTCTCCTTCTGCTGCTTTCATTTCGAAGGCCTGCCTCGCCTTCACTCGGACTTTGTCTGAAAAAACGAGGTCTTCCCGCTGCATCTGCAGCAGCAGCAGCAGCAGCAGCAGCAGCAGCAGCAGCAGCAGCAGCAGCAGCAGCCGCAGCAGCAGCAGCAGCAGCAGCAGCAGCAGCAGCAGCTGCTGCTGCTGCTGCTGGCGAGTGGCAGTTACCGTAGCTGATCGGGGGCAAGCAGTAGTTCCAGTCGGAGGCGCCCTTGCCCAGGAGCTGCACCTCCACGTAGCACCAGTCGGCGCCTGCAGCAGATATGTTATGAAGAGAAAGCAGCAGCAAAATGAAAAGTTGAACTTGAGAGAAAGCGGCTGGAGTTGAAGCAGCTCTTCAGAAAGCTGTACCTGCAGTCCCGTTGGGGGCCTTTGCTGCTGTGCAATCCGTGTAAGTTTGGTCATCTTGGACGAAAGCTGCTGCGCAAAGTCTCCCGTCGACAGTTCTGCGGTGGCTCTTGCGGAACTCCGTCAGCTGCTGCAGCGCCTGCGCGCCGCCGGGCGGCGCCGCGCAGCTGGCGGGATTCCAAAGCACAAATGCCACAAACACAACACAAAACACATTTGCTTTCAAAAAATAAAACATTTTAAACTCCAAAACGAAGAATTCCGCGCCAAAATGGCCTTTGCAAACGACGGCTGCGCGGCCGGCCGGAACTTGCACCTGCGCATACACCCCAGCAATCTGGGGTGTACGCGCACCTCTGACGCGCGCAGCGAGCGGAAAGCGAAACTTCAGTCATTTAAAAGTTGAACTTTTGAATATTTGCGCGATCTTCGCCACAATTGCGTTATTTTCTTCTTATTTTTCGGAAATAGTGAAGCACTTCGAGGCTTTTAGTGCTGGGGGCGCCGCGATTTCTGAAAAAGAACTCCGCTGTTGAATACTCGGCAGCAAGAACTGAAAGCGAAAGCAGCAAAGAATGCAAAGGGCCTAAATGGCCCGCAGCTCCGCCTCAGTTCTCTCTTTGGCAAATAACTAAATTGAAAAGTTCAAAAAGAAAAAATCCAGAAGCTGCTCCAAAAAGAAAAAATCCAGAAGCTGCTTCTTCCGAAAAACAAATGAGACAATTCGGTGGGACAAACTTTGCATGCATGCGTGCATGCATGCATGCATGCAAGGGTTTGCGTAAACGGGAGGGTTTGGGTCTCCAATTAAATTTGAATTTGCGTTTGAATGTTTCGAGAAGTTCTCGAGTTTGGATTTTGTTCAAAGTTTTCAGAAAACTGTCTCGAGTTGCTTTTTGTTCATTCTCTTTGTTTTGTGGCTTCTGCAATCTGCAAAGTTTTGGTTTTTTTCATTTTTATTTTTTTTCTTTTCCAGATTTTGAATTTACCTTTGCCAAGGAGTTGAGCTGCTGGCGCTGCACTGCTGCTGCAGCAGCAAATGGAAAAGTCCTCAAGACGCAGTTGCTGCTGCTTCCTACCGATGTCTTGAATGGCCTTGGTGTCAGCTGCAAGCAACGAACATCATTTGCTGCTGCTGCTGCTGCTGCTGCTGCTGCTGCTGCTGCTGCTGCTGCTGTCTCACCGGCTGCTGCTTCCTGCAGGTCTCCCAGGCTCCTGCGCAGGGCTCTGTCTTCTTCTTCTTGCAACATGGACTCCACCAAGTCTTGATTATTTTCTTGAATGTGGAGGTCCCTGGGTTTCATTTAATGGGAAAAACGCGAGTTTCTGCGCATGCATGCAAAGCTGCATGCATGCATGCATGCATGCATGCATGCATGCATGCACGCATGCATGCATGCATGCATGCAAGAAAATAAAGTTTTTAATTTCAAGTTCAGCAATTGGGGCTTTTCAACTTCAGCCCAAAAGCCCAGACGCACATCACCGGGTAGGGCGGCAGCGCCAGGCCGCCAATTCCCTGCAAGTCCACTTTGTGCTGCAAAGAGTTGAATTGCATCATTAATTCAAATTAATTGAAATAAATTGAAATAAATTAAAATAAATTAAAATAAATTAAAATAAATTAAAATAAATTAAAATAAATAAATAAGTTCGCTTTTAAAAGCGAAGATCAGTTGTGAATCCTCTTGCCTTTAATCGCGTGCAGTCCGTGGGCGTCGCGAAACTGCAAAAGGCGGCGAGCGCCGCAAAACTCGAAAGAAAGAAGAACATAATTCAAAGAAATGGTTTTATTTTTAATTTTAAATAAACTTTGCAAAAAAATAAACAAAAAGACGAAATATAACCGCCAGTTTCCCTCGCTTTCCGTTGGGTTTCCGGTGCGGAGCCTGCGCGAGACTCCGGGTGTCTGTACACCCGAAACGTGAAAAAAGGTTTCATTCGCCCGTTGACAAATCTGTTCGAAGTTATTTAAATTAAACATTTTAATTTCTTTCATTGAATTAAAATGATGTTTTTGCATTTCCTAAGTCCGCAGTTTTCAGTTGCATGCGGCTGCATAAAGAATTCACGGATCTGTGAGGGTGGCTGTGCTTACAAGATATATAATTGCATGCATTTCTCAAACTAAATAAAATAACTTTTAAAAAGGATTATTTCTTCTCTATTTCCACTCTTTTGGGCCTGCATGCACCAATTGCCAGCATTATTCGTGCAAGAGAATTAAACTCCGCTTTCCACTTTTTCAAAAGCCAGAGGGATGCAGCTCGAGTGTACGTACACTGCAAAAGAGGCAGTCTACCTCCCCTTTCCTTTGCTGCTGCTGCTTTTGCATTTATTTCTTTGCTCAGTTGCTGCTGCAATCCAGCAGCAGCAAAGTCATTTAAATTAATTTGCTGCAGAACTGACTTATGAGAATTTAATATTTTAATTAACTGCTTTTGCTGCGAGGCTTTGGGCTCTCTGGGGATCTGGATCTGCTGCTTCAGCAGCCGCTAATGGACTCGCTTAGGGTTTAGGGTTTAGGGTTTAGGGTTTAGGGTTTAGGGTTTAGGGAGTTTGCAAAAAGAAGAAAAAGCAAATTAATATTTCTTTAAAAAATGATTCTAAGTTTTAAAATTGAAATAAATAAGTTAGTTAAAGCAGCAGCAGAGGCGACTCAGCAGCAGCAGAGACTGCAGCAGCAGCAGCAGCTAGGAGCAGCACGGAGCCACCCAAGAGGGTACTTTCTTTGCGGCTTTTTGAATTCAAAATAATAAAATAAAACAAACAATTCATTAAAATAATAAAACAAACAAACTATTCGCATTTATTTCGCAATCAGAGCAAAATTAAATGCAAAGGGGGGCCCCCAAGTGAGAAGCCGCGGGCGAAAGGGTTTGAAGTGAAAGAAATGAATTTTTGAAATATTTGAATTTAAAATTGGAAATTGAATTTAAATATTTTGAATTGAAATTGAATTGAATCTGGAGAAGGAGTTTGAAGGGGGGCTGCGGGGCGGGGAAGTTTTGAAAGGACTTTTGGACTTGGAAGAAAAATTGGATTTTATTTATTTATTTATTCTTTTTAATTCGAAGAATTAAAAAGAAATAAATAAATAAATAAAATAAATTCAATTTTTCTTTCAAGTTCTAAAAGTCCTTTTTGATCTGGGGTTATGAAAAGGACTTTGAGAACTTGGAAGAATAATTGAATTGATTTTATTTATTTATTTATTCTTTTTAATTCAAATAATTAAAAAGAATAAATAAATAAATAAAATAAATTCAATTATTATTTTCGAATTAAAAGAAATAAATAAATGGCCCGACATGGCGGACTTGTGCAAAAATGGCGTTTTCTTTTTTTCGATTTCTCTTCGCCGTTTTTTTTCTTTTTTTTTTAATTTCAAACTCCGCCGCTTTTGAGACTTCTGCGGTAAATTAACAATTCAATTATTCAGTCATTTTATCATTAATTATTTAATTATTTAATTATTTAATTATTTAATTAATTAATTAATTAATTAATTAATTAATTAATTAATTATTTATTTATTTATTTATTTAATTCAATTATTTGCAATTTGCCCTTTGCTGTGCCGCGCAGAGAGCCAGCGGCTGCTGCAGCTTCCTGCAGGGCCTGGGGTGAGTGGGACTTCTGCGTTTTTTCTGAAAGTTCCTGGCGAGTCTAATTCGGCTTTTTGAACTCAATTTGAACTCAATTTTGATTAAATTTGAACTAATTTGAATTTAATTTGAATTTAATTCCATTTTAGTTCCTTTTCGCGCAGAAAAGCTCCGAAAAAGCCTCCAAAAAAGCCCCTTTTGGCCCCTTTTTGCACTCAACTCGCCGCCTACCGCAAACACCCTCTCGAAAGCCCGTTTTGCGACTGTCTTTTTCTCGGCGACTTTTCCGCCCGCTGGACCATCACGGACTTCCGCAGGGTCTGTACATACACCCCAGCCTTCTTGCTGACTTCTCAGTTTTTCTTTTCTTTTTTCTTTTCACTTTTTTTATTCTGCAGTTTTCTCTTTCATCTTTCCTCTTTTCAGTTCGAAGGGGCTGTACATACACCCCAACCTTCTTGCTGACTTCTCCAGTTTTATTTTTCTTTTTTTCACTTTTTAATTCCGCGACTTTTTACTTCATTTTTCCTCTTTTGTTGTTTTATTTTATCGACAACTTCTCCATGTTTTTAATCTCTTTTATTCTCTCAGCAGCTTCTCCACTTTGTGGGGCAGCAGCTGTACATACACCGCAGCCTGCTGCATGCGTTCAGCTGCAGGTGTACATACACCCCAATCTTCGCAGCTTCTGCAGCTGCAGAGCCGACCTATATATCGAATTAATCAGTTAAATTAACAGATCAAATAAACCAATTAATTAACTCTTATTTATTTATTTATTTATTTATTTATTTATTTATTTATTTATTTATTTATTTATTTATTTATTTGTTGCAAGAAAGTACTCTGGAGGGAAAGAAGTTCTTCTTCGCCGGCTCTGGTCACCAGCCGATTTCCCTTCGCCGGCCTTCGCCACTTTCGCCTCAAATTCAGCCCCTGGGGAAACATGTCTTCAAAGCCAGGGTAAGCAGCAGCAGCAGCAGCTGCTGCAGCAGCAGCTGCTGCAGCAGCAGCTGCTGCAGCAGCAGCTGCAGCAGCAGCAACAACAACAGCCGCAGCAGCAGAGGCTGCAACGCATTGCTGCGGATTGCCGCTACTGCTGCTGCTGCTGCTGCCTTTGCTGCTGCTGCTGTGCTGCTGCTGCTGCTGCTGGTTGGATTGTGTCTTTGAGTTTGTTTATTTATTTTTAATTATTTGCAACATTTGAGCAGCTGCTTCCGTGGCTGCAGGTGGGCATGTGCTGCGGTGGGAGTTGACAGCGAGTTGGGAAAGCGGCTTTAAAGTGTTTTTGACTTTTAAAAGAGTTGAAGTTTGTTTTATATTCCCAATTTATGTTTTATTTCATTAATTGTTTTATTAATTTGCTTTTTGTCTTCAGATTTGTTTCTTTTCAACTCCAACAAGTGGAAACCTGGCGCGAACTCACTTACCCCATTTTGCTCACCGTCGGCGGGATCACCAGGGGGCCCTTCAGATACCGCAGCGCAGAGTATTTCCAGGTGAATAAAATAAAAATAAATAATTAAATTAAAATTAAATTCAATTCAAAAAAAGAATCCGAAGTATTAAAAAAACGGAAATGAACTCCGGCGTTTCCTCTTCGACGCAGTCGCCTCGTCGCGGCGCTGGGGTGTCTGTACACCCTAATATGAACTGCGATCGTGAATTTCAACTTTTGAATTCTTCACTTTTTTGAACATTTAAGAGTCCGTTGAAAAGGCTTTCATTTGCAGAAATTTTCAAGTTTTGAATTGTTTGCATTTATCCTTTTATTTATCCTTTTATTTATCCTTTTGTTGTTTCTTTTGGCGCTGCTTTCATGGATTGATGGCAGCAGCTTCCGCACATTTAAATTCATTAAATGTCCTTTTTATTTAATTATTTGATTTTGTTTTCCATTTATTTCGCCAATGTCCTTTTTATTTAATTATTTAATTTTCTTTTCCATTTATTTCGCCTCAGGCTGCAAACTCCTTCTGCAAACTCGAAGATCTCAAGCCCGAGGCGGACGCCCTCAAAGTGTCCGTAGAGGTGGCGCCGATGTGAACTCAAGAAAAGGATCTTTTGAAGTAAATAAAAAGATCTTTTGAAATAAATAAGAAGATCTTTTTAAGTAAATAAAAAGATCTTTTTATATAAAAAGATCTTTTGAAATAAAAAGGATCTTTTGAAACATAAAAAGGATCTTTTGAAATAAAAAAGGATCTTTCGAAGTGGAAAAGGATCTTTGAAAGTGCATTTCCTGGTTTTGAAAGCAGAAGAAGAAAAGGACTTGCAAGTACTTCTTCTTTATCTTTCTTTCAAAACTCTGAGTCAAATCCGAGAAAAACAAAAAGACAAAAGTTGCGAATTTTCCCAAGTTTTTTTTCCCACGACAGCAAAGCAGCCAAGAACAGCTTCTTGGCTTTCTTTCTCCCGGCGCCAACAAGTTTAAACTGACAGCGCCTGGGGGCCCCCCTGGACCAGTGGTCCACTGGTCCACTGCGGGTGGTCCACTCCCGAGGACTTCGCTGCGGTGATGCCTCTGGGTTTGCCCCCCTGCACTGCGTGAGTGCATGCATGCAGAAATATAATTATTTAAAACTAAATTGACACATATAGTGCAGCATAAGAGCAATTAAATGTTTATTTACTTTATATTTATTTATGTTTATTTATATTTGTTTATATTTATTTATATTTTGTATTGTTATGGTGGCCTTCTTATAAGGGCACATTTCCCTCTGGGCCTGAGCTGTACATACACCGGAGGCGCAGCGCCCGGGGCTCCCGCGGCGGAACTTTTCGTTTTGGGAAAAACAGAAAAGTTGGAAAGTTTTTGAATTAAATTTAATTTTTAAATTCATTTGACATTCTTTTTGGCGTTTAATAGATCTGCAGTTAGAGCTTCAATTAAACTTTTATTTCCTCTTTTATTTCCTCTTTTATTTCCTCTTTTGTTTCATCTTTTGTTTCCTTTTTGTTGCATTTTTATTCCATTTTTATTCATTTTATTTTATTTTATTTATTTTATTTTATTTTCCTTTTTGTTCCACACGAAGGGCCTCCGGCGTTTGCGGAAGAAAAGACGGAAAAGCAAAAAGACCAAAAACCACTTTTGCAATTAAACACCATTTCAGTCTTCCAATTAATGGCAATTTAATGGCAATTTAATGGCAATTTAATGGCAACTTAATGCGAATTTAATGCTAATTTAATGCTAATTTAATGCTAATTTAATGCTAATTTAATGCTAATTTAATGCTAATTTAATGCTAATTTAATGCTAATTTGATGCTAATTTAATGGCAATTTAATGCTAATTTGATGCTAATTTAATGGCAATTTAATGCTAATTTGATGCTAACTTAATGGCAATTTAATGGCAATTTAATGCTAATTTAATGCTAATTTAGTGGCAATTTGATGCTAATTTAATGGCAATTTAATGCTAATTTGATGCTAATTCGATGCTAATTTAATGCTAATTTAGTGACAATTTAATGCTAACTTAATGGCAATTAATTGGCAAATTAAAGGACAATTAAATGCCAATTAAATGCTAATTAAGTGGCAATTAAATGGCAATTAAATGACAACTTAGTGCCAATTTAATGGCAATTAAACGACAGGTGAATGGCAATTTAATGCCAAATATATGCCAATTAAATGCCAATTAAATGCCAATTAAATGCCAATTAATTGTAAATTAAATGCCAATTAACTGTAGACTGAAAGCCAATTAAATCCCAATTAAATGCCAATTAAATGCCATTAAAGTGCCAATTAAATGCCATTAAAGTGCCAATTAAATGCCATTTAAGTGCCAATTAAATGCCATTTAATTTGCATTTGACTGGCATTTAATTGCCAAGCAAAAATTCAATTAAATGCCAATTAGTTGCCAGTTAAATGCCACTTAATTGCCACTTAGTTGCCAATTAAATGTTCAATTAATAAGCAATTAAATGTTCAATTGGTTGCCAATTAAATGCCATTTAAATGCAAATTAAATACTTAATTAGTTGCCACTTAATTGCCAGTTAAATATTCAATTAATTGCCAATTAATTGCCAATTAATTGCCATTAAAAATGCCATTTGAATGCCACTTAATTGCAATTTAAATGCCATTTAATTCCCATTTAAAATGCCACTAATTGCCATTTAAAATGCCATTAATTGCCATTTTTAATGCCATTTAAAATGCCATTAATTGCAATTTAAATGCCATTTAATTCCCATTTAAAATGCCATTAATTGCCACTTAGAATGCCATTAATTGCCACTTAAAATGCCATTAATTGCCATTTAAAATGCCATTAATTGCCATTTAAAATGCCATTAATTGCCATTTAAAATGCCATTAATTGCCATTTAAAATGCCATTTAAAATGCCATTAAATGCCACTTAAAATGCCATTAATTGCCATTTAAAATGCCACTAATTCCCATTTTTAATGCCATTAATTGCCATTTAAAATGCCATTAATTGCCATTTAAATTGCCATTTAAAATGCCATTAATTCCCATTTTTAATGCCATTAATTGCCATTTAAAATGCCATTTAAATTGCCATTAATTGCCATTAATTGCCATTAATTGAGAGACTCGACTTCGAGCTGGAGTTGGAGTTGCATTTCTTTTTTTCTTTTTTCTTTTTTCTCCGCCTCCAAAATCCCCTCCTCCACCACCCGCAGCTCTTCAGCATTCCGTTCGCCTTCGCAGTCTGCTGCTGCTGCTGCTGCTTCTGCTGCTGCTGCTGCTGCTGCTGCTGGTGCAGCAGCAGCAGCAGCAGCCGATGCTGCTGCTGCTGCTGCTGCTGCTGCTGGCTTGGCAGTCTTGCCGTTCTCCGTCGCGTTGGAGTCCTCTTTGGAGTCTGGGCAAGTCGAAGGCACTTCTTCCTGCTCGGCGTTGCCGTTGCTGCTGCTGCTGCTGCTGCTGCTGCTGCTGCTGCTGCTGCTGCTGCTGCTGTTGCTGTTGCTGCTGCTGTGGTTTAAAATGTTGTCTTCAGCTTCTCTTTTGGTCTTTTTGAGGCGGCGGCTGTCAGCCAAAGCGCGCTCGCTGCTGCCAGGCTCTGTGCGCTTCCTGCTGCTCACGTCGCTTGCTGCTGCTGCTGCTGCTGCTGCTGCTGCTGCTGCTGCTGCTGCTCTTTTGACTCCTTTGGCGGCGCTTTTGGCTGCGGATTTCCGCGGAATGTCAAAGACCAAGTAACCCTCCGACGGAGGCGCAGCAGCAGCAAGAATTGCTGCTGCTGCTGCTGCTGCTGCGTGCCGGCGGGGCCGCCCGCAGTCCGTAGGCGGGGGGTCCCGTGCTGCTGCTGCTGCTGCTGCTGCTGCTAAGCTTGCTGCTCTAGATTCTGCTGCTGGTTTCGAGCTGCTCCCCTCGGAATGCACGCGCCGCCGCCGCCGCCGGCCAGCTCCTTCAGCAACAGCAGCAGCAGCTCCCGTCTGCCTCGCGGGCCGTCCCCTACCGGCCTTGCTCTCCGCAGAAGACTGCGCCGAGTCCGGCTCCGCACTGCTGCTGCTGCTGCTGCTGCTGCTGCTGCTGCTGCTGCTGCTGCTGCAGGGGCTGCGCCAGCCGTGGCGCTCGCACTCCGCCACAAATTGGTTCTGCAGCGCAGCAGCAAGGCGGCTGTCTCTGGCGGGCAGCGAGCGGCGGGGGAGAGCAGCAGCTCGCTGCTTCCGCCTGCGGCGAGTGTGCTGCTGCTCTGCTGCTGCTGCTGCTGCTGCTGCTGCTGCTGCTGCTGCTGTGGTGGTGGTGGCTGCTGCTGTTGAGGCGTCGGAGTCCTTCTCGCCCGCGGCTTCTGCTGCTGCCTCTGCTGCTGCTTTGGCTGCGCCATCGTGGGCTAGTTCGTCATCTGCTGCTTCACCAGCAGCTGCTGCTGCTTCTGCTGCTGCTGCTGCTGCCAGTGCTGCTGCTGCTGCTGCTGCAGCTTTCGTGGCTGCTTCCTCCTCTTCTGCTGCACGCGCTGCTGCTGCTTCTTCAGGCACCGCCTCCGATGCTGCGGTTGCGTCAAGTGCTTCTGCTGCTGCAGCTTTGGTTGCCGCTGCACCTGCTGCTGCAGCCGCTGCTGCTGCTGCTGCAGCTGCTGCTTCAGTTGCTGGTTTTGCTGGTGCATCACGAGCCACTGCTCCTGATGCTGCTGACCCTCTTGCTGCTGCCTTATTTGGCGCCCCAGCTGGTGCCTCGCTTGCCGCCTTGCCATCAGCTGGAGCTGCTGCAGCAGCCGCAGCAGCAGCAGCAGCAGCAGCCGCGACTTTCTCCGCTGCTGCTGCTGCAGCAGCATTCTGTCTGACCTGTTCGCTGCTGCACTTAGCAGCTGCTGGAGCTGCTGCTGCCACTGGGGGCTTCTCCCTCTTCGGTTCATCTGTGTCTGTTCAAGCAGCACAAACGCCCCACAAAAGATGCATCAACAACTTCTCATAGCAGCAGCAGCAGCAGCAGCTGCTGCTGCTGCTGCTGCTGCTGCAGCAACAGGTGGCTACGGGCGTGAGCACTGCGGGTCTAAGGGCCGACTGCGCAGCGCGCGGAGGAGGAGCGCGGGTGGTTTGGGGTGTACGTACACCTGAGACCGGCTGGGCTTACTTTTTTGGGTTTCTTTTGCGGACTCGGGAATTGCTGCAGCTGTTTGGTTTGCTGCTTCTCCCTTATCGTCTGCTGCTGCTTCCTCGGCTTCTTCTGCTGCTGCAGGCTTCGGGCCGTCAGCTTTCCTGGCGGATTCAACTTTTGCAGAAGTGCTGCTGACTGCCGCGAGAGCCGCGGAGCCCCGCGGGCCGTCGCCGGGGGCCGCTGCTGGGCTTTTCATGGCTAAAAAGAAGAAAAAGGAACTTTTGTTTGCAGGGGATTCAAAAAATTCGGAGATCGCCCGGCAGCAGGGTCGGCAGCGGCGGTGATCGCGACGCCGTGCAGTTGAGTCGACGCGGGAGGAAACTGGCGCGGCGGAGGCGGAAACCCGGAAGAAGTCGGAACTTTCCGGACTCGTTTTGAAGAAAAGAATAAATGAAATGAATTTGCGGGAAAAAGAAGGCCAAAAGACGGCGAGATCCGGCGAAAGTGTTTCCCTCAGCCGAAGCGCAGGGATGACCCGCAGTGTGTTGCAGCTCCGGGTGTACGTACACCTCCGCCCGCAACACACCCTGCGGAAAAAACTCGTCTGCTGTTTAAATTTAATTCTTTTATTCTTCAAAAAGAACAAATAAAGCCTTTCAGCCGCTGCGGGCCAGCCACCCCACTCCCGCGGGCCCGCATGCGCCCAGCCCCAGCGGCTGCGGCCACAGGCTGGAAACTGCGGGTTTTCGCGGCCAAGTTCAAAAGCGAAGAAAAGAATTTCATTATTTCTTTTTTTAAAACCAAAGTCTCCAATTTGAGGCCAATTAAAGGCCCTTTTCCCCTCCCAGTGGCCTCCAGCCCCTCGGGACTTGGGGAAATGAGTCCGAAAAAGAAAACTTTTCAAATTTCCTTCAAATGGTACTTTTCAAATTCCAAGTCCAAACTTGCTGCTGCTGCTGCATGCGCTGGGGGCCCCCCAGCAGCTGCTGCAGATCTGCGCAGGCGCCATGGGGGCCCCAGCAGGCTCTTGGGCGCAGCTAGCTGTCTAGCTAGCCAGCCGTAGCTAGCTAGCCAGCTGGCTGGCTAGCTAGCTGGCTGGCCGGCTAGCTAGCTGGCTGGCTAGCTAGCTAGCTATAGCTAGCTAGCTAGACAGCTGGCTGGCTAGCTGGCCAGCTAGCCAGGGCTTTTCACAGCTCAGTGGCGGGCTGGAGCCGCAGAAGCTGCCTTTTATAATTTATAATGAAAATGAAAATAAAATTCCGGCAAAGAAGAAAAAATAAAAAGTGAAATAAATAAAAAATGAATTTAAAGTTCGAACTGCTTTTTCCGGTTTGCAGACACCCCGTGGCTCCCTCTCCGTCTCAAGTGGTGAAAATTAAAAATCATTTTTTAAATGAATTAATTCCATTTGTCGACAATTTTATTTCCATTTATTTTCACCGACTATGTTCAATAGTTATGTTCACTAATTATGTTCATTAATCAAGTAATTGAATAATTAATTAATTGATTAATCAATTAATTAATTAATCAATTAATAATTAACTGCATTATTTATTTGATTTTTAAATGCCAAAAAGAGGATTTAAATTGGCCGACGTTTGAAGTGTTTGTTTGGCGTTGGGGTGTATGTACAGCTCTTTCTCGCGAAACTGAGATGAAAATGATTTCGGGAAATACCCAAAGAATTAATTCTGAACTAACTGCGACCACCAGCAGCAGCAGCAGCAGCAGCAGCAGCAACAGCAGCAGCAGCAGCAGCTGTCTCTCCCTTTTGAATTTTTGGAAACAACTCAAAACTCGGAAGGTAATAAAAAGAGAAATAAGGGAAAGAAACTAATTAAATTAAATTAAATTAACTAATTCAAACTGAAGCTTTTTTTCTCCATGCAATTCCCCTCTCGAGACTTCCCGCAGCTCGCGAAGCCAGCAGACCTAAGCAGCAGCAGCAGCTGCTGCAGCTGCTACTGCTGCTGCAGCTGCTGCTGCTGCTGCTGCAGTGGTGTAAAGGGCTGCAGCAAGAAGGGCGAAGTTGGAATTCAAAGTGTGCGTTGGGAGCAGCAAAGGGCAGCAGCAGCTGTCAGTGGGCCTCTGGGAAATCCTTGTTTGTCTTTTTGGAGTCTTTTGAAGTTTCGAAATAAACAAAAAGACTAAAAAGCGGAAACGGCGAGAAACGGATTTGCTGCTGCTGCGCTGCTGCGCTGCTGCGCTGCTGCAGCGCGGACTCGGCGCGCAGGGAACGCAGCAGCTCGGGGGCGATCTGGGGCGTTTTGGGGGCTGAAAAGAGGAAAATGGAGGAAATAAAAAGCGGAAAAGAGTTAAAAAGAAGTTTGGAAGGAGTTTAGCGGAAGTTTGAAGGCTTTAGAAGCGAAAAGACCTGCAGCGCGCCAGTTTCCACCAGTCCGCCCCGCCAGCGGCGCCCCGCCGCGGCCTTCCGGGCTGTCTGGCGCGGCTTTCGCGGAAATCTGCGGAGAAAAGACTTTTAATGTTGGAAAGTTTGCAAAAAAAAGAAGTCGAAGCGCGCGGGAGCCGCGGGGACGGCCGGACTGGCGAAAGTTGAACGGCGGCTGCTGCTGCTGCATGCCGGCAGGCGACTGCGTGGCCGCGATCTGCGCGGAAAGCTGGCGGATTCTGCAAAACCAAAAGTGCCTTCCGCTTCATTTTTGACTTTCTTTCAAGTTCTCGAAAGTGTTCTTTCGTCGGAGCTTTCCGCGGCGCAGATCGGCTGCGCCGCTGCGCCAGCTGTCTGTACACCCCAACTCCGCACTCCACTCTCCGCCCCTCTCCGCCACAACTGACCACTGGTCCATTTCCGGGGCCTCCTGGCGAGTTGTGCGGCAGAGCGCGTGCGATAGACAGGGACTTGGGCTGCTTTCCGCCTTCGGCTTTAGCAGCAGCGACCCGGCAGCAGCAGCAGCAGCAGCAGCAGCAGCAGCACCAGCTGCGCCTCTCTCCTGCTGCTGCCCTTTCCCGCTGCTGCCCCGCCTTCCTTCTCCGGCCGCAGCGCTATTTCCTTTCCTGTCCACCCAAAGCAGCAAAGAAACCTGCTCAGCCTTTCCCGCCGCTCCCGCTCCTGCTGCTGCTGCTGCTGCTGCTGCTGCTGCTGCTGCCAGATCCGGTCTTTTCTTTTTCTCCTTTCAACTCCAAGACAACAGCGCAAAGTTCGTTCAGCCTTTTCCCAGGGCCTCCCAGCGGCTTTCTCTTCTCCTGATTTCCGCATTTGCTGCTTCTGCAGCTTCGCCAGCGGCCCGAGTTCTGCTGCAGCAGCAGCAGCAGCAGCAGCAGCAGCGCAGCGGCTCGCCTCGTGGTTTGGCGGCAGGGAGATTCAAGAGCTCTCCGCGCTGCAGTAGGTGCTGCTGCAGCTTCTCTGCTTCCGGGGTTTGTCTGAGTAGCCGAAGATCATTTTTAAGTTCTGAACTTTCCGCATTTCCGCGAACTGCAGCAGCAGCAGCAGCAGCAGCAGCAGCTGAGCGCGTCCCCCTGCTGCTGCTGCCTCCGGCGGTCCCGTTTCGAAAGGCGCCCTTGCATGCTGCTGCGGCGCGCTGCCCTGCTGCCCCCGCTGTCCCCGCTGCTGCTGCCGCCGCTGCTGCTGCTGCTGCTGCTGCTGCCGGTGCTGCTGCTGGGGATGGGCCCCGGGAAGGCGGGCAGCGGGGAGTGAATGTTGTTCGGGGGCTGCGGCTCTGGGGCGGCCGGCGCTGCTGCTGCTGCTGCTGCTGCTGCTGCTGCTGCTGCTGCGGGCAGGGGGCCCCCCCTGCGCTCCGCGCTGCAGAGCGCAATGAGGGGCCTCAGCTACGTCGGCGCCGAAGGACTTTCTGAAGAAGAGGCGGAGAGAATTTGGATTTACTTACGAGAGGCTTTTGGGCAGATCTTTCGGCACAACGCGGCTTCGCTTTCCTTCGAGGAGTTGTACCGGTGCGCGCGATCCGAATTCAACTTTCTCGCGATTGCCTTCTTTTTTCCCCTAATTTCCTCCAATTTACTCCAATTTACTCCAATTTATTCTAATTTATTCCAATTTATTCTAATTTATTCAAATTCCGCTTTTTTCGCCGTCTTTTGGGCTCTTTTGGGCCCCGACTTCCGCGAATTCGAAATTCAGAAACTTGAATTCCTCGGGTGTATCTCCACCTCAGTGACTGCGCGGCTCATTTCTTTCATTCATTTTTATTTATTTCTTTTATTATTTTATTTATTCATTTTATTTATTTTATGTGTTTCTTTTTATTTATTTCTTTCTTTTACTTCTTTCGCTCGCTTTATCTTCCAAAGTTCAAATTCAACTTGCTTTCCGCTGCGGCTACTCCTTGGCTCTGCACTTGTCTGCTGCTGCTGCTACTTTTTGTCTTCAAACTATTTCTGAAATAATAAATTAAAAACAATTCAAATTTAATTATTTCACCAAACTGAAATGAAACTCGCCGCCTTATTCCGAAATTTCTGTTTTGTGCAATTTGCAAAATCGTTCTGCACTTTCTTCGAGTCTTGTGGGAGATTTTTGAATCAAAAGAAATAAACAAATTAAATGAAATAACGAAATAACTGCATTTAATTCTGTTCTTTCTATCTTTTGAAGCCCATTTATTCCATTTATTTCACTCCTTTCATTATTTATTTATTTATTTATTTATTTATTTATTTATTTATTTGTTTGTTTGTTTCTTTTCAGGTATGCGTACACGCTGGTGCTGCACAAGCGGGGGCAAAAGCTGTACGAAGGCACTTACTTGTGCGTGCAGCAGCACTTGGAAGGAATTGCAGCGGAAGTTCGCAGCCAAAAAGACGAAACTGCTTTCATGGAGGCCCTCATCAGCAGTTGGAAACATCACTCCGTTAATATGCGACTCGCCAGCGACGTTTTGATGTATTTGGACAAGTACGCTTTTTGGGGTGTACGTACACCGCGCGTTCTGGGCAGTTTCTTTTTCTCTTTTTCACCACTTTGTTTGTTTTCTTTCTTTTTGTTTTATTTCCGTCGAATCTTCGGAAGTTTAAAAGTTAAAACTCGAATTTCGAGGCTTTTGGACCTTCTGTGTCGCGCAGCAGCAGCTTTTCCTTTTGCTGCTGCTTCCGATTTGTTTAAATGGCATTTATTTCTTTTATTTCTTTTATTTCTTTTATTTCTTTTATTTCTTCTATTCTTTTAATTGTTTTTAATCTTTTTTGTTCTTTCGGACTCGCTGCCTCTCTTGAACGGGCCATTCAACTTTTGGCTCCAGCTCCTCTGGCTCACTGAAGCAGCAGCAGCAGCAGCTGCTGCAGCAGCAGCAGCAGCAGCAGCAGCAGCAGCAGCAGCAGCAGCAGCAGTTTTGTGTGGCTGCTGCAGGAACTTCGTGCCCAGCCACGGGCTGACTCCGGTGTACACGATGGGACTGAATTTGTTTTTTCTTTTTGTTTTGAAAGACAAGTTCATCAGGCCCAGGTTTCGCGCCTTCCTCATGGAAAAGATCAAACAGTACAGAGACGTGAGTGCTGCTGCTGCTGCTGCTGCTGCTGCTGCTGCTGCTGCTGCTGCTGCTGCTGCTGCTGCTGCTGCTGCTGCTGCTGCTGCTGCTGTGATGAGGGTGCGGTGCTGCGGATGCGGTGCTGCGGATGCTGCGGGTGGTGCTGCTGTGGTTGTACTCCTGCTGTGCTGCTGCTGCTGCTGTGCTGCTGCTGCTGCTGCTATGCTGCTGCTGCTGTGGTGCTGCTGCTGCTGGTGGTTCTGTTGCTGCTGCGGGCTTGGGTGCTGCTGATTAGGGTGTTGCAGCAGCAGCTGCTGCTGCTTCTGCACCTCCTAGCTGCTGCCAGTGCTTTATTATTATTATTATTATTATTATTATTATTTATTATTATTATTATTATTATTATTATTATTATTATTATTATTATTATTATTATATAATATTAATATTAATATTAATACTTGCAAACAATTGTATATAATTATTTACGGCATTTCCTCATGTATTCTCCCGAATCGGCTCACCCAGCCCCCGAACTGCCTCCGCAGAATTGAAGCTTCAGGGTTTAGGGTTTAGGGTTTAGGGTTTAGGGTTAAGGGTTTAGGGTTTGTGGTTTGTGGTTTGTGGTTTGTGTGTGCTGCAGACGCAGAAGCGGCTGTGCCAGGAGGCGGTGCTGGTGAGCAGCAGCCTGTCGGAGTCCTCGGGGGCCCCCCTTGCGAGTTTGTTGTTGGAAACTTTTATTTCTTCCAACTTCAAAAAGATGAGTCGAAACTGCAGCAGCGGGGGCCCCTTTTTGATTCGCAACGACAGAGTCGAAGAGCTGCAGCAAATGTACTTTCTTTTTGCCAAAGTTCCCGGCGCCCTCGAGGAACTCCGCGACGTCTTCAAGCAAGTCATGCAGCAACAGGGTCCGAAACGCAACTATTTTCCATTTATTTCTTCTTTTTATTTGTTTATTTTGTTTATTTTATTTATTTTATTTGTTTTATTTGTTTATTTGCTTCTTTTGCTTCTTTTTGGTGCTTTTTGAGTTGGATTCCGCGCTCTGAACTCCGCGACGTCTTCAAGCAAGTCATGCAGCAACAGGGTCCGAAATGCCTTTATTTCTTCTTCTTTTTCTTTATTTATTTGTTTATTTTATTCGTTTTATTTATTTTATTTATTTTATTTGTCTATTTGCTTTATTTGCTTCTTTTTGGTGCTTTTTGAGTTGGTTTCGGCGCCCTCGCCGAACTCCACGACGTCATGCAGCAACAGAGTCCGAAATGCCTTTATTTCTCATTTATTTCTCCATTTATTTGTTTATTTTGTTTATTTTATTTGTTTTATTTGTTTTATTTGTTTATTTGCTTTTTTTGCTTCTTTTTGATGCATTTTGAGTCGGTTTCGGCGCTCTCGCCGAACTCCGCGACGTCCTCCAGCAAGTCATGCAGCAACAGGGTCCGAAATGCCTTTATTTCTTCTTTTTCTTCTTTTATTTGTTTTATTCATTTATTTTATTTATTTTATTTATTTATTTATTTATTTTATTTGTTTTATTTATTTATTTGTTTTATTTGTTTTATTTGTTTATTTGCTTCATTTGTTTTGTTTTGCCGCTCTTTGAATGCCTTTGGGCGCCCTCGCTGTTCAAAGAAGTCGGGCGGCAGCAGCCTCCGCAATTCAACTTTCTTCTTTTTTATTCTTTCACCGATTAGTATATTATTTATTTATTTATTTATTTATTTATTTATTTATTTATTTATTTATTTATTTATTTATTTATTTATTATTTATTTATTGTTTATTTATTTTATTTGTTTGTTTCGTTTTGTTTTGACTCTTTTTGAATTGGTTCGGATTTGGTGGACTTGCCTTCTGCGTTGTTTGGGTGACTTTTTGAATTGTTTGTTTTCTTCTTTTAATTCATTTCAACTCTTCTAATTCTTTTTGTTTATTTTATTTCTTTCATTTATTTTATTTCTTCTATTTCTTTGTTTCATTTCTTTCTTTTATTTCTTTTATTTCTTTTATTTCTTTTGTCTCTTTTTATTTCATTTGGTTTCATTTTATTCCATTTTGTTCCATTTCAGTTCACATCATTTCATTTCACTTCAATTCAATTAATTTCAATTTTAATTAGAATATCAATTTCAATTATTGCATTTGTTTTGTTTTATAATTTGAGAATTAAAAATAATTTATTTCTTTTTTCTTTTCCTTTGAGAGTCCACTGCGCACTTTGTTGAATTTAAAGTTTAATTTAAATTTGAATTTAAATTTGAATTTAAATTTGAATTTAAATTTGAATTTAAAAGCTTTAAAAATGAAATTGAATTGGAATTCAAAAGTTTGAATTTGAACTTAAATTTGAACTTAAATTTGAACTTGAATTTGAATTTGAATTGTTCAATTTGAATTATTCAATTTGAATTTCAAACTTTTGAACTTGAACAAAAATCAGAATCAGAATTTGAATTTGAATTCGAACATTTTGAAAATGACGAATTTGAATTTGAATTTCAAAGTTTCGAATTTGAATTTGAATTTGAGAGTTTTGAATTTGAATTTGAAAGTTTTGAATTTGAATTTGAATTTTTGTTTTTGAATTTGAATTTGTTTTTGAATTTGAATTTTTGCTTTTGAATTTGAATTTATTTTGAATTTGAAAGTTTTGAATTTGAATTTGAATTTATGTTTTGGAATTTGAATTTTTATTTTGAATTTGAATTTGTTTTTGAATTTATGTTTTTGAATTTTCCAGGAAACGCGTTGCTGGCGGACAGTTCTCTGGCGAAAGACCCGAACGGCTTTGTGACTTATTTTGAATTTGAAACAAAAGTTTTCAAAAATAATAAAAGAGGCTTTTGCAGAAGACCCGGAAATGCATGCAGCCATGAAAGCAGTGCGTCTTTTCTTCTTCTTTCTCTTCTTTTTCTTCTTTTTCTTCTTTCCATTTCCATTTCTTTTCTTTTTTATTTTCTTTTTTCCTTTTAAAGTTCTCTGCAAATTCATTTCCATTTCTTTTCTTTTTATTTTCTTTTTTCCGTTTTAAATTCTTTCCCCCTTCGTCTTTGTGTTTGGCTCGCCAGGTGTATGTACAGCTCGGTTTGCCGCTGCTTGCGGAGAATTTCCTCCTCCGCTTTTTCCTTTTCTATTTTTGCAAATATAAATGCAAAAGACTTTTTAAATTTAAAGTAAAGTTTAATTTCGAATTTAAATTGATTTTTGGATTGGAAAAATGCTAAAATGAAAGCAAGAAGTGCAGATTAAGGTCTTTGTGGTTGCAAGTAAAAGCCACTCTTTGAAGTGAAGACGAATTCGAATTCAAATTTGAAAAGAAATTCTTAAATTGAAAATAAATAAAATAAAATAAAATAAAATAAAATAAAATAAAATAAAATAAAATAAAATAAAATAAAATAAAATAAAATAAAAGATTTAAATGGAAATGAATTATTGCAATTGTTCGAGTCATCGCAAACACGAAGTGGACAAACAATTGCAGATCTGAACGCAAATCAAACACCATTTTGTGTCTTTTTTTGTTTTTTATTTCAATTTAATTCAATTTAATTCAATTTAATTCAATTTAATTCAATTTAATTAATTTAAAAGTATTTTATTTTGTTTTAATTTGAATTATTTCGATTTTATTTCCATTTGAGTCCCCTTTTGCATCTTTTTCTCCAAACTTCCTCTTTTTCCACTTTCACCTCCAGCCCCGCCCTTCCGCCCAAAACGGCTCCTTTTTTGGCGTTTTTTTCCGCTTTTTTCCGCAAAACATTTAAACAAACAACTGGCAACAACTGGCGCCTTTTTGGAGACAAAAAGCGCAAAAAAAAAGTCCAAAAAATGCCAAAATGGAACGAAAATGCGTTTTTTCAGGCGTTCGAGGGCTTCTGGGGCGGAGACAGCCGCTCCGCGGGGTACTTGGCGCTGTTCGTGGACGGCTTTATGCGTCGGACTTTTCGAAATTTAAATTCCGACGAAGTTGAAGTTTCTTTCCAACACTTTTTGGCGCTTTTTCGTTTTCTCAGAGACAAAGATGTCTTCGCAGCCCATTACAAATCTGTGGGACTTTATTATCTTTTTATTGGTCCTTTTTTCATTTATTTATTCCTTTTATTTATTTATTTATTTGCATTTTTGTTTATTTAAATTCCACGAAGTACTTCAAAGAAAGGTTGTGAAAAACCGCGAAAAAGCAAAACTCAGAGACAAAGATGTCTTCGCAGCCCATTACAAATCTGTGGGACTTTATTGTCTTTTTATTGGTCCTTTTTTCATTTATTTAATCCTTTTATTTATTTATTTATTCGCATTTTTGTTTTTTTAAATTCCACGAAGTACTTCAAAGAAAGGTTGTGAAAAACCGCGAAAAAGCAAAACTCAGAGACAAAGATGTCTTCGCAGCCCATTACAAATCTGTGGGACTTTATTGTCTTTTTATTGGTCCTTTTTTCATTTATTTAATCCTTTTATTTATTCATTTGTGCATATTTTCGTTATTCAAAATTCCACGAAGTTGAAGTTTCTTTCCAACACTTTTTGGCGCTTTTTCGTTTTCTCAGAGACAAAGATGTCTTCGCAGCCCATTACAAATCTGTGGGGCTTTATTATCTTTTTATTGGTCCTTTTTTCATTTATTTATTCCTTTTATTTATTTATTTATTTGCATTTTTGTTTATTCTATTTACTGATCCTTCATTTGTTTATTTATTCATTTTATTTATTTATTGGTCCTTTACTTGTTTATTTATTTATTTATTAGTCCTTTATTTGTTTATTTACTTTTT